TATTAAAATGGTTAAGAAAATGTGCATGTGTCCTGCAAAAATATGTACTTGCCAAAATGGTCTGAGATGTGCATTCTACTGATTACTGCCAAAGTGAACAACATTTTTTTCTTCAAAATTATTTTCAATGGGGTTATCGAAACAATTCCTTGAGCCCCCCCTTGTTGACTCATAATACCTTGCTTTCATGAAGTCAAAACAAGAAAATATGAAATTAACACATTCTGTTTATTTGTTGCCCAAGCAGAAGAGTTCATAAATTGGACTTTTGGATGGGGGCCCGGGGAGGGAGGGAGTCCCTTGGGGTGACATTACTGTAGAGTCTAACACCATTTTGCACATGTGCAAGCATTTCATTTCTGTGCTGAAATGGCCCTAATGTCATGCTTACACATATGCAGAACTACAGTCCTGAAAAGTAATACGATCATCAAATATTATTATGTAAACAGAGAGCGTAAATTCATATACACAGGTTAGGGAGAAAAAAAGAGCATTCATGCTACCACATTCACAGGCATGTTTGAACAAAAGCATTTACATAAATACCTTATCCATACTGGCTGCATTAAGTCGCATAATAGACGCATGTGCTAGACGATCAAATACCGTCCTCATGGCTTTGCGCGAATATAGCTCCTGTGGCTTGAACAGCTCTTCCATAAATCTCTTGTTGAACATTGTGGCAATGATATCATGAAGCACTGAAACATGACATGTTTCATAAATAATAAATAATAATAAAATAGGAAATAAATATCAAGTCAAATTTTGAGGTGAAACAAACGTGTATGACTTAAATATATGACTAAGCTAAACATAGACTGCATTACAGAGATGAAAGAGGTCCTTTTTTTAAAAATCTGGAGACTACAAGTGCCAAAGCCAAGCAAGTCTGTGTGGGGATACTGGGGACATAGATATAATACCCAAATACTGGAATAACCAGATAAACCTTGAAGACTTCCATCTCTAAATACATCATGATATCCCTTAATGAGAAATGAACTGAAAACAAAATGCTAAGAACTAAATCATGATAAGGCTTGTTGATTGGTTTGAAATGCAATGATTCAAGCAATCAAATAAATCTTAACTGATATATTGTAAATTTGGTTAAAAATAATCAACTCCTTCATTCAGTGTTTATAAAAAATGCCACAACTATATACATGTTGAGTTACATTGCTTTTCATATAGCACAAAGTGATTCAAAGTTTCAGGTCAGATGTCGGCAGATGACAACTCAAAACTTCCATTCTTCTTTTCATTTAAACAGAGATAAAATCATGGATATAACAACTTCAGTACTGCGGAACACACCAAACCCATAAACAGGGTTAGGTATTTATATTATGACCACAGCTGGAGTTGTATTTTTTACCCTGCTATGACTACCAATAAAATTTCACTGATTGGGCAGCAATCCAATATTGTAACATTTAAAAGTAACAGTAACTCAACTACCATTTTTGCTATAGTATACTATATACTTTTGAGGCAGATTCAAAAACTTGGGTTTAAACTTTGTTAGAGTTCAGGGATTCATGAAATGTTGAATGTTACAGTAATATAAGTGACTAATTTGTTAGACTAACATCATCATCTTAATCTAGCAGATAACTTACTTCGGATCATGTTATGAGTCATGACCAAGAGAAATGGTCCAGATTTATCAAATCAGGACTGTTGGAAATGGGCAATGTTGAGATAAAAACAAACAAATCAATAAAATGCTATTCAATATCAAAGAATAGGTTTAATCTTCATATCATAATTACAGATTGCATAACACTTTAACTACCTTTTCCGATTTCCCATTATTTTTATTATATATGTTATATATAAAAACATAAACCAACAAGTCATCACACTGCTGAAGAGAGCACATTTCTTTTTGTTTGGAGTTGTGCTGACTTCCTGTGTAGCAATTTTAACTAAGTGAACAAAATATTCTTATTATTTGGATTGGGTTTAGACAAGGAATTAGACAGTATATTTAATTCTTTGGATTAGCCTATGTACAGTTTATTTTTTCCTCTCTGATTTATTTTTGTGTCAATCATTCTGTCATGGTGTAAAAAAAGGACAATTCACGAGGAATTTTGTCAATCTAGCTAAGTAATTCAAGGTGACTCTTGCTGAATGCAGTCAGAATAATAGACTCACATGTCTCCTCCTGGCATTGAAAAGAACATAGAAAACCTGGCGATTATACAAGTTCTTTTGAAACAAGAGAAAGCCTGTGAGTCCATGAATCTGATTGCATTCAACAACAGTCTTCATGCATGGAGTTAGCATGAAAATTCATGCGTTAGCACTCCTATTGACGATTCTGATATGTACTGGCTGTGCTGGGGATACTGGGGACATAGATATAATACCCAAATACTGGAATAACCAGATAAACCTTGAAGACTTCCATCTCTAAATACATCATGGTATCCCTTAATGAGAAATGAACTGAAAACAAAATGCTAACGCACAGACAGTACATATCAGAATCGTCAATAGGAGTGCTAACGCATGAATTTTCGTGCTAGCATGGAGTTAGTGTGGATCAGCTAGGTCGAAGAAATTCATTGTGGACTGTCCCTTACACCATGTTTTGTAAACATATGCATAAATGTAAAACTGGTGCACTAAAAGACAGATTACACCTCCTACTGCCTGTCTGTGGAAGACTAGCACTAGCAGTACCGGTAGTTGTTATATTTTATTAGTGCTGTCTATAAAAATCCTATTGAAATATAAACAACCTCCAACTGACCAATACTGCTATGGTTCCGGATAATATTTTTCATTGTCTTAATAGGACTTAACTTGAGTTAACTGTTTGATTTAAGTTTAATACGTATTCTGCATAAGGCCGGAATCTTGATCCAAACACGGCAACTGTGGTTCAGTGGCATTGGCACTGCACAAGATTTGAAACCTGTGAATCTTTACCTTTTGCTGCTTTATCCTGGGGTATATTCTGTGCACGTAGTCTCTGGTCCAATATATACATCATCTCACCACCTAAATTAATGAACAACAAGGATAAACTTTTCAGCGACATTTTGTTAGAGTCACCGCTACTTTCCTACTAGTGAATCGCGAAACCTGGGACTCAAACAAAAATGGACGATAGAGGTCAGTGTAGGGCAATGCCAAGACGAGACATGGCAATGTGGTTTGGTTAAGATCAGTTGTAGGACTAATAACTTAGGTCCTTGGTTAAGAAAACATTAGTTCATTTAGCAAAAGGTATGATGGAACGCAGACAAATGTTCAGTGGAACACCAGGGATTTTGTCCTTTTACATTTATATTTAGCACTGCTAAGCAGACAGAAGTTTAAATATAGCTACAGTAGCTGCACTAATGGTTTAGAAAATATTTTTGAATTTGATTTTACACTTATTTTGCCAGAAAAGCTTATACAGAAATACACAATTAAAAAGTAAGTCATGTTGTGAGTTGAAAGTGGAGATTAATGGTTCATTTTTAATAAAGTAAAAATAAAAAATCAGAAATTGAGGTGCAAAATTAATTGCAATATACTCAGTACGGGTGCATTATGTTCATTCTTGACAGGGTATTTTTTTCAGAAACTGTTCAAATTTAAAACCACAATACAGTTTTACAGAAAAGGTACATGTACATTGTTTTATTTATTTTAATTAATCAATGTATTTAATTACAACCACAAAGTGCATCACATCTCAACTTTGGTAGTAGTTAATCTAATGAACATCAGATCAAATGATTATAGGAAAGTCTGTCTTTTAATAATCTAAGCCTTAATTTTGAAAATAATCATCAACGTGGCAATCACTCTGCTTCATGAAAGTGTACAGCACCACAGCAACCAATAACATCTTTTAGATTTTAACAATGCAACATGATAACATATTTAGGCACACTCAATAGTATTACAGTATTATTTAAAACAAGAAAGGCAACATATTTCATAATTTCATAAGTTTTTATGCACAGATCAATGGTAAAGAATGATATTTGATCAACTTCCCTAATGTAGGGACTTTTGACAACAAAAAAACTTACTACAGATAAATGTTCTTTTATCAAACAGTATCACAGGTCAATATATAGGATTTATAATATCAAAAAGAAAAAACTGTACAGTATGCACTAAACATATAGAAACAAAATTTCTCATGCATAAGTGGAATGTATAAACAACAGGGTTTGTTATATCAAAATATTTCATAATCAAAGATTGCACATTTCTAATAAAACAAGTTAGATATCTGTTGTGTGCAAAACCTTCAGGGCAATTTCAGGAGAAGATATCACTCTCTACATAATATAATGTTTTTGTTACTCTCTACATACATAATGCTTTTTTTACATTACTGTAACAGCATTTCTTCTTCAATAATGCTGTAGTTATATATAGGGTAATGTTTGTAGCCAGAAATTCACCCTTTTTTATAAATTCCTTCATAAAAGGATTGAGTAAAATTAATCAGTTCTTAAAATCTCTTTAAATCTTTAAGGCTGTCATTCTAATATCAGCCTGTCCAGCAGCTAGTATGTGATTCAATCTTCATCTTCATCATCTGAGGCAACTTGTGGTCCCCGCTTCATGGGGACCATGCTTCCCCCAACCAGGCCATTGGCTGTATTGAACAGATTGATAGGGGAACTGCCATCTGTGATCAGAGTGGACTTCAAGCCCAGTGCCTTCAGGAGTTTCACCTGGAATTAGGAATGTGAGGGTTAAAATGATGTTATTAACCATTTCCCATGTCAGTTAAATGTTGTTCCTCCCAGTGTTCTGTGACAACTTTACGAAAACTTTCAACCACACATATACAAAAATACTTCAACACATTGAGAAGAACAACAATTTTATTATATGCATAGTTGTAAATCATATAATCAGCAAAATCAGAACAAACCATGATAGAACTAGCCATGAATTCTACTTGCCTGCATCTCGGGTCCAGAAGTTGCAATGGCTCTGATGGTGTCTGCACCTATGGAATTCACCATGTCTTTAAACTTGCCAGTCTCAATGGCAGTCATCTCCTTGGACTTGGACAGCTCAAGCTCATTCTGTTCACGAAGGAACCTGATCTCTGCTTCACGGGCACTGGTAAGGCGTTCAAGTTCTCCTTCCTGTAAGTAACAATAATTCATGTATATAAATAACTGTCTGTGCAAAATAATTTTGCACCTAGTAGCCCTTTCACACAATTGAGTCAAAGAGCAAACTGACCCAAAAGCCAAAATAATCAACACTATCTTAAGAAATTTACACAAATTTATAATCATTACTAGCATTTTTAAAATTAAATATATGTTTAAAAAATGAAAATTTTACAACTGTTTTGCATGTCAATAAATACGTATCATTAATATCATCAAAGCCCAGCTTCAATTTTGCTAACATTAGGCATGAGGCCTTAAATAAAATTGCAGACTGAAATCAGTGCAACTTTTTGTATTAACATCTAGTTCACTAAATACTAAGATATAAAACATAATCATACGTACTGCTTCAATTTTCATAGCCTGCGCCTTCAGTTTGGCTTGCTCCACATTAGCCTCTCCCTCTATTCTGGCAGACTCTGCCCTGGACTGTGCCTCTGCCTTGGCTTGCCCTGTGCTCTCTACGGCAGCACTCTGAGCCTGGAGTTCTAGAAGAGCACGGCGAGATTTCTCAGCCTCAGCTTCATCACTGATCTTTTGACGCTCCAGGCGACCTTTTGCCTCCTGCTCTAGACGCTCTGCTTCATGTCTGAAAATGATCAAATACAACATAAGACCTTTCTGTATGCTGTTTGTATAATATTAGTTAAACAATTGTGATAAATTTCTCTCGACTAAAACTAGCTGACCATTCATCAGAATATCATACTGTATGTGATCATTATACAATGTAGTTAGAGAAGCACTAGGAGTAGGGCAGCAATACTGGTGGGTGTGGTTAAAATAAAAGCTTTCACAATCTTCACCCAATCAAAGCCTCTGTTACATCTGACATAAGACTACAGTTTACCTGGCTGCTGCCTCCTGTGAGTTGGTGGTAATTTCAATGGCCAGTTGGACAGACTTCTGCAAGGCATCTCTAGTTCTCTGGTCCACTGGTTCCACAGACTGAATATCTATGCTAGTGATGATCAAGTTGTTCTGTTTGAACACAAAGCGATCTCGCACTTTCTTGCTGTCATCAATTCCAAACACAGACGCACGGATAATTTTGGCGGAGTTCTGAAATAGAAATTTGCATTCTCAGTCATTGACATTTTAATTTTAGTGAAATTCTGAGGTTGGGTGAAAAGACTGCCACTAATTTTCAACAATTCTAGCACTTTTATTAAATTTTTTATCCAATGTCCATTTTTAAAAACCACCGACTCAGAAATGATTGACTCAATCATACTTCTTGAGAAGCATGCCAAACACATTGAGAGACTTACAATGGAGAAAATAGGCCAATGAAGTTTACCTTATGAAAGTCATCAAACTGAACTTGTGCCACAGCTCCTCTGACTCTAGACGCAATTGCTTTACAAGCATCGCCAACAAAGTCGGGAACACTGAACAACTTAGCTGCCTCAGTTTCAAAGTCTTTGTCTCCAGCCTTGGTTGAAATTTCAAAGTGCCTAAAACCAAAGGCAAATTATAGTGCTCTACAAATTCTGCTTTCATTTATTATCATTACAATGTTCATACAAATTTTTCAAAAATCTGAATTGTGCTAAACTGTGATGGTTTTAAACCATGAAAGACCCAACTAGAAAAAATAGTTTTCATTGCTGTCTACTAGATTGTCAAGCAAGAGTTTATAAACATGAAAAACATACATATAAATACAAAATACATACCAATTGTATGACAGCTGCAGAGAGAGCCTTGCGTGATCTGCCGTCTCCACCACTATAATATCTGTGCAGAAGTCAGGACCCATGAGAAGGCACAGTGATTTGATAAGATTGGGTTTTTTGGGTTTACCACCAGACAAACTGAGCTGAGTAAACTGTTCATCTGGACCCAGCATCACCAGATCTGGACCAAACACAACTCTGCAAAATTGTGAAAAATTTATTACAAATATATAACAAGCAACTGTCCGTAAAGTGAAATTTGAAAACTGTTTGACAAGAAAGTCACAAGACTGACAATAATCATGAGGGTTCATGGAGATGTGTTGTCTGCTTCAAAATTAAGAAGTCACAAATATAAAATATTATTTTTTGGCAACTCTGTATACATTTATCAATTAAGCATCTTAATGACTGCAGAAATCTTCAAGTCAAAAATCTTTAAATCAGTTAATCCTCTAAAATACTTGGCATAACAAATACCTTGCTTTTTTCTCCTTGTAATCATATATCTGCACTGCTGCATTGTGTGGCACTCTGAAGGTGACTACCCTGGTTTTGTCGCGTGTTTGGGTGCTTGCCCCTCTGCCGCGCTCTCCTCTATCAGCCAGTGGATCTTTCCCTTGGGCCAGAAGTGCCTCCACAGCAGGGGGCAGCTCCTTACACCACAACTCCTCATCTTGGTTCAACATGTAGGTCTCCCCAGTGATGGCTCTTACCTATAATAAAAATAATTACACTTTGAAATTCAGCAAGAGGTGTCCAGTTATAAATAAATGACGAGTGCCAGCAGGCCTTCACCAGTAACTTTTTGCCCAATAAAACAATTTTATCTGTTTTTTTTTAATTTATTAACTATGGGACCATTCACAATGAGAAGAGCGGAGTGCTAGCTAGGCCACGACCTAAATATGGCAGACCTACATGAAAGGAAGACTGCTTAATCCTGTAATGGTCTCTCTGCCTCTCACATGCCCCCCAATGCGTCGTCCCTGCAGTGGCACAGTAATTTAATCTTGGCTCAATTCAACCGGTCAAAGGATGACGCATGGGTAGCTGTGTAAAAGGTGGAGAGACCATTACAGGATTCCAAAATGCTTTTACATGCCTCTGTTTTTGCAATAATGAAACAAAACAAAAACCTATATGCTGGTCTTTGCATTTTCAAATTCAGACAAAAATACACCATAGCAAAAGTGTGCTCTTAGTACACATATTTCTACTTTCTTTAACTGATAACTTAAAATGACATTCCAAATAAAAGTGTAACAACCGAGCAAAAGAAATTGATGGCTCTTTGGTTAAACCAAAAATTTCAAGCAAACCCACCTTGCCAGTTTTGACATTTCTGACATAGATTCCTTCATTTTCATCTAGTGGGATGGCTTGACGTTTGCAGACAACTTCTACTTCAACTGGAGGAACATATTCCTTGGGGCCTCTGATCATCCAACGATCTCCAGGGTGGCGCTCAATGCCCTAGGTGTAAGATTATGAATAAGTAAATTTCTTGGCAACAATGCTATAAACACTGATAGA